TCCTAGTTATATGAAAGTCAATTATATGAAAGCAATTACAAATAGAAATCAAGATAGAGGTAAATCTACCTTTCGGTAAAATCTTCATTACAAGATGTTAATAGAGATGAATAATTCATGGTTCACAATTTTGTAATGTTTATGAGTAACCAATATGTAATAAAATCAGAATTAAATGAATATTTACGTGAGATAAATTATAGTATAAATATATTAATAAATAGTAAATTATAAGATAAGATAAATTATAATATAAGAAAAATAAAAACCAAACAAAAATAAACATATGTAGAGAAAAGTAAGTAAAGTTGTGGAAGTGACAAGAAATAATATTAAGATTGAAATAAATCACTCGTTGTCGCAATACGCATCTATTACGATAAAAAATCCACTTGTTACATTCAAAAATAAAAACATATACAACTATTAAATTGGATATGATCTTTTTAATAGAAATTCTAATTTGATTACAATTTATGCTAAAGAATTCATCGGCTTTATAAGTTTATTTAATGTGAGGAATAATTTTTAAATATAAGCGTCACTTGCTAATATCACATTTGTTAATATTTGCGAATTATTACGTTTATGTCGAGTTGCTATCGCGTATACGTTTACGTTCATTAGACTGCAAATTATTCAAAAGCCATCTCTTTGATGAGAATCGAGCCACGATCAGTTCCCACAGTAAACTATCGCTACCCTTTGCAGTTGCCATTTTCATCACCCCCTCAATCCATCTATTTTGTTGACAAGTGGTCGTATTTGGTCGATGATGATATGGTTGCAACCCCATATCATTTTATACTTATAAATACTGGGTGGCTATGCGTTATTTCATTTTGTAACAATTATTCCAATAAAGAAGTATAATAATAAAAAATTTACAAATTGAACGTTTAATCAAATCCCTTCATCTTTCTTCATTTACACAATATTAAAAAAATGTATGTATATAAAATCTCTCTTGTGTGTTAATATATATTTTTTATCATAAAAATAAAAATAGAAAATAAAGCTTCTAGGATATAATAAAAAGTAACAGCCTTCGTTTAAATCGTATTTTTCTTGATTAAGCTAATGAAAACGATTTGTGAAAAAATACTAACTAACGGGTCTAAAGCGTTATTGTGGGACACCGCGTATACAAACTTGATTCGGGAGGCACGCGTGTCACTGCACGTGTGAGCGAGAGGGGAGCGGGGCTTCCGGCGTCGGCTTTTTAAAAGCCCGCCTGGTGCTGCACGCGTGGCCGTGCGCAGCCACGTATGGGGGTCCCGCGGGTTTCCCACGGCGGATGTGCACCCGAGTACGTAACACACGTACCGCTGGGGAGCGGGCGATCGTCGTTAACAGAACCATTCGGTCACATGCCACATACGACGGGGTTGCCGACCCAGCGGCGGCGAGCCGCTCTTCTTCACGCCCTCGTGCACACACGACGCACGCCGCCGCTCTGACTTATGTCCCGAGTGCAGGTGGTCGGACGAGACGAGCATTTTTGCGACGTTCGACATGTATGCAGGATACGAAATATTTGCATATCCTGCGCGTCATCCGAGAGAAACGCGATAACGACTAGTATCTGTCAGATCAATTAATAAGCTAAATTAATTTAATTAATTAATCCGAATATCGATCAGCGAGATAACGATGAATACGATGTTGGGGAAACGATGACTAATGAAAATAATTAAAAAGTCGTAAAAATATCAAGTTATACGAGTAACGTGTTACTTCGTAAATTATATCTCCATGTCTATCGCGCGTTGTAAATTCAGGATGTGTTCTTTCTTTAAGAAGGTGCACGTATTCTTCGGGGCAATGAGGCGTTACCGTACTTGTGGAGGCTTCTTGCCGACAGGAATCCTGGAATTTTTTCTTACGACGTTTATCCACGCACGATCGAATTCCGCGGTTGGGGTAAAACCGAGACATCGCTCCGAGAAACAATATCCATTCGTGGGCAGCGATCGCGTTCGGAACGAAAGTAATTCGATCGGTTTCGCGCATCCGGTCTCTGCGACCTTCTCTTGAGCGAATCGCTCGTTTACACGGTAATTAACGGCGTGCCACGCCCACTCTCTCATTAATTGTAAGTCCAACCGAGCGCGATGTCAATTTTATCCGTCTGACAGTACACTTCGTTTCGAACACGTGCGCTGCCGCAGACTATTGTTGTACAAGTATGTGGATATATGTAACTTCTCCATAAATAAATTGCATAATTTAATTGCTCGTACTGCGACAAAGGATCGTGATTTATTATGGGATAAAGTATTTTCGAACAATCGTTTAAGTCCTTCAAGTCCATTGAGAGTAGTCATTAATATCTATCGACATTCGGATGAATTATTAATGATACGACTGTGTGTTGTGGCGTTATTCTTAATAGAAACCATATATCCGAACACGGATCTATTCCATTGATTGATACGAAGGACGATTTATTACACTCGATTCGTTGAATATCCGAGTCGTTGGGGACGACTCGCGATTGAAAAAGAGAATATTTGTTTTTTTCATTGCGTGGTTGTGTGTTTTTTTTATAATACTTGCGTGGCATTACATTTAATTAAAGACGTCATCCCGATTTTATTAGATTTCACTGATGAAGATTTTTTTAAACGTTAATATGCTTATCTTACAAGTATTAGTCATTGGTGGGATTTATTTTCAAATAATTCTCTCATATAATTTTAGAGAGATGAGGAACATTATTTTTGGAATTGAATTATTTTTAAAAATACGCGCAAATTATGCGATATATAAATATGTGATAAATATGTGTAATTAATTGTAATCGGAAGAATCCTTCTTTATTTATCATCATTAATAATTACAATTCTTTTCTAGAAAACGATATTTCATTCATTGCAAGTTGCGAAATTATGTATCTTGAGATATTCATATACAATCATTTTCTTGCTACATAAAATAATTCTTTAAGAGCTAATCGGCATTATATGTCCAAAAAAGAAATAAAAGAAATTTATATATCTTCTATTTATTTTCTTCTTTCGGCGAATTTCGCTTTCTTTGCGAGTTTGCACGTTACTTATTAGCTGATTTTAATACATGTGCAGATTGCAGATACAAGATCCTCCCTGGTTTTAGATTTTGCGATATCCTTTATTGAGCATATGTACATAATTCTCCAAAATTATTGCGTACATCTGCTTATCTCTCATTTCATCAAGAGAAAAAGAGAGAGAGAGAGAGAGAGAGAGAGAGAGAACATTTTACTTTAACAAAAATTAAGATATTATTAAAAAATGGTGGATACAATTTTACGTCAATTTATTTCTTCGAAAATATGTTGCTATTGTTTTAATTTAAAAACAGTATTTTTAACATTTATTTGTTGATATTTCTTTTTAATCAAGCTATAGATTAGGATTCAATGCCTAAATTTGGATCTAGACGATTAAATATAATACATAATACTCTTCCGATGGGCCAGGAAACGCTTCTCGTTGGTCGTATTGTTGCATTAGTACGCGACTCGCGCAACGATTCGTTCGTACATGGGTGGAACGCACCGATCGCGAACGGTGCAAACACCGTTCTGGCTCACGCGGGAGATACGATCTCGCGCATATACGAACAGCAACGTCCTCGGCCGAGGGGATCCCTCTCCCGTTGTAAGCCGGCTACGCCATTAAGCTGGAATTCAGGTGTATTAACGATGCTGGGCCGCGCGCGGCAGGTACGTAGCGACCACCCGTGGGCACCCGGTAGCGCATTAATGGCAACGCCACGGTGGAACTGTTCGTTAGAAGGGGAGATATTCCTTTTATTTCGCCTATCTCACGCGCTCGCGATCCCAACTACACGTTTACTGCCGACGCGACGCGGAAACCTCGTCTCTTGGAAGGTGGGAAAGGGGGATGCGATTACGTCACGAGGATGTCGTCAGCTGTCGCCACTTTGTCTAGGAGAAGGTCGAGAGGTTTTCGCGCTCTGTGCGCTATTATCGTATTTTAAGTGTATCTTGACATGGTCCATTAGAGTAGATGTTAAACCTGACGGAGATGATGCGATTGTAATGTCGGTCAGTTTGATGAGAGGTATCGCGACATTTTGAGAACTCTATCTCGAGATTGTTGTCATCTTTTTAATTACTGTATTAATTTATTCTTATTAAAGTAGGCTCGAATCCATGTGTCTGTGTGATTCTATTCTTTGTGTGTTGTTTTTCACGCAGCAAACTGCGGAAACACGCCGATGCGGTTAATCCCGCGAGAATATAAGCAAAGCGGGTTGTATCGAGGTCTCTATGCTCTTATTTGAATTCTGCATTCTAAGCAGCAGCATCCTCGTTATAGAGAAATTCCAGCGTACAGAAGTTCCGCAGGTGTTACGCGTAAATAAATGAAGAACGATGCATTCGTTGAATTCTTAATTTTTTTTTCGTAAGAAAGGATACATACATTTTCGTAATAATAATTCTTGTTAATGTAAAAATTGTCGAGTTATTTTATTTTTATTATCTATCAAGGATATTAATTTATCAATGTTTATAAAGTTATAAAGATTTTTGTTATTATAATAAATTGATACATTTATAATTATACGCATCTAGATAAGTCTTGAAAATCCTGTAGCTTTTAGGTTTAAAACGTATTAAAAAAATAATAAAATAATTTTAAAAAATCGGAGAGTGCCAATTTATTATAACATAATGTTTTTATAACATTATTTATTTTAAAGAAACATTTTCGAAAAAAATGAAAGAATATTGCATATCAGATATAAATTATAGAGTTGTGTATTAAACATTAATATGTTTGGCGTCGAAAAGCATAAAAATAATTAAATCTTTAATGAAATAATATTATATATATATATATATATATATATATATATATATATATATAACTTTTATTAAAAAATTATAAAATATTATGCAGAGTAAAATGCATGCGTGAATAATACTTGAATAATTAACAGGATACACATACACATTTATTAAATTATATTTTTCTTATGTATTTCAGATGGTTCTGTCATTTCGATGACGATAATTACGTGAACGTGCCACGCCTGTTGAAGCTCCTGGACAATTATAACCCACGGGAGGATTGGTACCTTGGCAAGCCCTCGATACCTGCGCCTTTGGAGATCATCAGGCAAGGTCCGGAGCCACAGAAGCGGCCGGTGAGTGCATATCAATCATACTTTCTCTTTTTTCACGCACTTTTCTGATACATTTTTTTTACTTTTAAATATGTCCGTATGAATTACACACTGTCTGCTGTTGTACAAAAAAATGTTTGTTCGGAGAAGGAAGCTATACATATATACAGTTGTATGTATAAGATTTAAAGTTTTAATATTTCTATTGTTAATGGATCGATGGATATTTTTGTTGTCTTGAATAATTTAATTTAATTCTGACTTATTATAAATTATTTTTTACCGACACACATTTTCAAGATTTTTTTAACGTGACTAATGTATTTTGATCATTAATTGTTTGCATTAATTATTATATAATATCGAGTCTTTATGAGTTTCCATTGAGCATCCGTCCATCGATCCATCTGTATAACATTATTATTCCGACTGTCCGCTTCCATGAGACTTACTTGGACCGTAATTACACGTTTCTCCGAAAATCAACTTAATTACGCGCGCCTTTTACGCTCGGTCAACCTCGAAAAAGGTGTCTCTCGACGATTTATTAAACGTCGTAATGCCAAAGGTAGCAATTTAAAATCATGATAATGACGAGCGCTTTGCTCATATGAAAATAAAAAATAAAACATTACCAAATACGAAATTACCTGACCGTTTTTAAACTTCCGATAGAAAATGTCGCGATGAGAAATTAAACTCGTTGACACAGAAAAAAGGCCGAAAATAGAAAAAAAGAGAAAAAGATGGCTACTTAAATGAAAAGAGAATAAAATTATTTAAAGAAATATTTCCTTTCTTCTCCTCTTTTTACCGTATTTACGCGAAATGCATTGCTGCACCGCCACTAACGGGTGGTCTTATCGAATTTATGCATCCACGAGACCGGCTTCCGGCAAAGTCGGGCGTGCATATGTCTTGGCGAGCACAAGGTATATAAATAGAGATCGCTTCGCTTTTGTAAGCAAGTCCGTTCGACGCTGAAGGCAATATGCGAAGAAAATGCACGATAACGTCTATTCTTTTTAATGCTTCCCTCCGGCGGTGTCTTCCTCGCGCCGCAAGTTTCAAGCTATTATCTCGCACCTCACGTATATGTATCCCCTTTATCCCGAATGCGTGTGTATGATGGGTTCTTATGGTTAAATCTCGTCTCCCGCGCGAACTCGTGCCCGTGAAATTTCGATTTTCTTTCATGGAAGACGCAACCGCGAGATTTACTATGTTCTCGGATATTCAATCTACGATACTTTTTGCTCGCACGTGCATCCGCGAAATTGTTCTCTTGGAGATTTGGCGTATTACATATATGAAATGTATTTTCATAATATTCCTTCACCATCGTGAAACGTGATAACGGGATATTTTGAATGGAAGATGATATTTGAAATAATATTAATTTTTATTACAATGCAATTTTTATTCGTGATGCATTTTTTTTACTTATATGACGTTACCTTTAAGTTCTAGCGTAATTTTTTTCTTCGCGGAAATGTCATAAATTTCAAATTAATAAATTATAAATGCGAAAGATGGATACGCTCGTAAAAGGGAACGAAGTGTAGGGGAGCGTTTTTTTGTGGCATGGCAAGCGGAGAAACTCGCCTGTTCATAATCACGAATCGATAAAAGCCTGTCTCGCGTACCGCTTTAAAGAGATACACGATGCGATTCGGATGTCGCCGATATGATCGCTGACGCTCGGCAGCCGGCGGTTAAAGGAAGCCCGCGATCTTATCACAGGGCGGTGTCATGCTATGAGGCCATTAATCCTTTTTCTTCTGCCGGGATGAGAAATGAAAAAGGAGAGTCGTCTCTCTGTAACGTCGCTCACGATCGAGAAGGGACCGGCCGATGTGTCCCGGAAAAAAATTCCAGAATACGCACGTCATTCGCTTTAGAAATTGATAACCGTTTTAATCCACTTGTTCGGGAATTTAAGATGTACTCCTTTTTTTCCGAACCACTCGCTTGCGAAGTACGCGCGTCGAATTAATTTTTAAATTGATCGCCTTTTACGCTCGCGGGATTTGCATTTCGCGATTGAGAATAGGACAAAGTGAGAAAAAATAGTACAAATTGGAAAAGCCGCTCTTCTTTCATCACGGGGAAAAAGATACGAGGGAGGGAAAATAGATAAAGACGAGAAAGGTTCGCGGTGCTCTCGAGATGAAACGATAAATCTTGCAAAGCCCGTAGGATCCGTTCCTCCTTCTGAGATTAACCGCTTCTTATAAGGTCCGATCGAAGCCATTCATCAAGCACCTTTCTTGATATCTCTTTCCCTGATTTCTCTCCGACGCTCGTTAAAGTCTAATCATAATACGGATCCACTGATTCTTTCCCATTTTGCCATCCGTGAACTTCGCGCGATCTACGATCGGATCTTTTATTGAATAAAATTACTGCGCTCGCACAAATATTGAGGGAGAAAAGATAGCGAACCAGATTTAGGTTACTAACTCTATTAAATATGTAATTTTTTTATTTAAAAATGTCATCATGTGGAAATCTATTATAAGATTCTTCTCGTTTTGCGTTACATAAAGTATTCTACTTTCTATTATAATTTTAAAGACAGAATTTTCAAATGAATTTATTTCTTTCCTTGACACGATGTCTGAAAAAATCATTTTTTATTTTTTATATTTAATATTAAATATTTTAATAATAATATAAATAATTATATACTTTGAATTAAAAAATGCCATTAAAAGAAATATTCGTTTTAACTTGGATGAGCAATTTGGAAATTATTTTGAATATTTGAACTGAAAAAAATTGATTACATCTTATTTTTGTTAAAAGATGGAATTTTGTACAACGTAATTAAAACCGGAGCCAAAAATTTCTCAGTTTTTCTCCCAATTAATTGTAAGTATAATTAATGTCGGAAACGCCGCGAGAATTTATGATCGATGATCTACGAGAAAAAACGTCGACGTAAAAATCCTACACAAGCGTTCGAGGAAAGCCTCTTACACGCTTATCCGAGCGTCGGAACCATTTTTCACGCCATTATTTCATATTGGGCCGTCGTGAGATCCGGTCCGACAACTATCGCGGGACCAGTCATACAGCGAACTCATTACCGGTCGGCGAAAAGATACGCGAAATGCGATCGATCGTACTGTACGCGCACGTTGGCATATCGATCGTCGCATGGTAACCCACTTAAGATGATGCACCGCTCATGCGGAATTTAAATTGGCCGATATCCTCCGACACGCTTTCCTGGCAGCACTTAATCCATTAAGTATGCTATGGGACTAGCGTTGAATGCGCAAGATTTTCTTTATGTACGCCGTCAAGCGTTGAAAGAAGAATTTATTGAAATAATTGAATGAAGATGGTAAATAGACAGTTGTTATATAGCGAATTTATACATGATGCATGAAATTAATGGTAGAAAGTATGAACAGGATTATTTATTTTAAAAAATTTTAGAAACTTCTCGGATATAACACACCATTTCATTAGATTAAAACATAATAAAATATGTTATATAAATTCAACTGTCATAACTTTTTTCATTATTTTTTTACAAAATTTTTATATCAAGGTAAAAACTTTTAGATTTTTTTAAATAGAATCACACAAGTTAAAATTAAAAAAAAACTAGATTCCACGTAAAAATACTTTCATATAAATTATTTTTTTGTACCAAGACAATCATAAATGATTTATTTTTTATTCGATACTATAATTAAGAAATAAAAATTTTATGTATTTGGAAAAAATGTAGATTTCGTAAAATCGCCTATTTTGTTGTTTTAATCTGATTATGTGGAATCTTGGTATGCATATATCATGGATTTACGTAAGATGACAAGTGCACTTCGATCGTTATTTCAGTTTTATTATGCAGCTATTTGGCACAGTATGTTCCGCTAGTGAATGGACATTATCCAATGCATACAAAAGAATGACTCGATCTCGGATCGTTTTTCAGTCCTCTTTCTTTACGGTCATCTTCATTCAGTCTTCTTACGATCTGGTCGGACCAGTATCGCGTGTACCAAACCTCTTAAAAGTCGATCGGCCGCGGTTCCTGTAAGCACAAGTAACGATCATAACACTTATGTTAACCAATTTAAACATTCTCGGCTTTATAGGAAAATCATTCCCATGCAAATGACGTTTACATCGTCGTAATATTAATTAAAATAAAAACCGTGCTCTCGATTGTATGCTCTCTTCTCATACCGGACTTGCCCCGCTCTTTAATTAGACAAAGAAGTAGTCCCTTGCTCCTTTATGTTTTATTCATTTCGTAAAAAAGATAATTTGCATTCAAGAACAAGTCACCGGTTTTACTAAAAGCGCCCGACTAAAAACACAATTCTTACTCGTGCTGAACCATTCTATTAATATTCGCAAATATTACATATTCAAACATCAGTTTTTTTAAAAAAATAATCATAAATTAATTGAGAAATATTTTATAGATGGATCTTTCTTGCGATTTACTTTTTCCCTCTCTCTATTTCTCTCTCACCGAGGCATTTAATATCGGAAATAAATATAACAAATAAATGTATCACGCAATATAAATTACAGATTGATTTTATTATAGAAAAAATTTTCATTTTCCATCAAGAAAAAAATCAATGCTGAAAATTCAAGATTTCGACAAATTGTTACAAATTGTTATATTTTTCGCCCGATAAATATATTCGATTTCTGCGTCCGATATTCCATCTGAAATTTTGTCACGTTTCCCCCGTGAATGCAGATATTCATTTCTGCTTCGTCCCCTTATCTCGGGCGCGAATCGCGATCCGCAGGACCTCCGCTCGTATGTATCTACGATGTAATACATACACGCGGGTGAAAGGTGGTTACGTCGGGCGAGGCACGTTGGCTACAGAAAGTATATACTTATATCCGTTGCCGGTGTACTGGCCGCCTTCTCGTGCCCAGCATCGTCCTTCGTCCGGGGCCGACGTGGTCGAGCTATCTCTCCCGACCCCCCATGGGTGTGGTACCATCTTCCAACGGAGATTATGGTCTCCACCGTG